TCGTCAACTGTTGCTTCAAGTGTATCTTCAAAACTGTTTTCATCAAAACCCCACAGAATCAAAGAATTACTGTCGAAAAGTCTCAATCAGAAAAATTGGAAATAGTTGTAACAAATTACTGAAGCATGTCTTTCCATGCATGAACATACATGGAAAGACAATATATAAGGCATATAAGGCAAGACTTAAAGTCAATATTTGGTTTAACCACCACCTTTATTCAGCACACCAAGGATTCTCTTAGTTACGCTTTTCTGTAATTTCTTTAAGTAGTCTTCAGGAGTAGCTCTCCAGGCGACTTGAAGGACATTCAAACATCTTATTTGGATATTGGCTGCCTTTTGTTCTGCCATCTGTCGAAATGGCCCCACGCTGCTGCAATAATGTTGAGGTTTGGGGTCTGGGGAGGCCAATCTACCACTGATAGTGTTCCACTGTGTGTTTCTATCCATGGTTTGCTTTTCCACTGGCAGTGTATTTAGAATTGTTTCTTAATGTTTTGTTAATGAGATGTTTTCCAGATGGTATTGTATGGTGGATTAAAATCTGACATTACTTTTCTGTGTTCACCATTGTGCCTTTCTCCTGAGTTTGGTATTTCTGTAGATTTGACCAAGAAAATGAGAACACTTGTGTTTTTATAACAGGCTGCTAGTAACAAAGAACCTGGAGATACAATTTAAAAGTTGTGCAGACACATATTGGTTCATCCCTTGAGTTAGGTGCATATTATGTGCTTGAATAGATCAGTGATAGATCAGTGATAAGTGGGGTAGCGAAAACAAACACACAAACAACCCCCCCGCCCAAAAAAAAAAAAAAAATCAATCAAAAAAACAAAAAACCTCCTTTGCAATGATTGGATAAGAATAAGGACAAGCAGTCAGTGTCCGAAGAAAAACTTTGGAATACCTTCAGAAAGCCTGGAGAGCTATTGTTTGAAACCACTTTTGTTGCTCCTTGAGAACAAAGTATGAAGAAATGAGGTTTGGCTCAAGACTTTTGCACAGTATTGTACATATTACTTTGGAGTAATATGTACATATATATTATGTATGTATGTTCTGTGTTCATAACAGGGGTGCCCCCAAGCCCCCTATGTCTATATCTATATATACATATCTATATCTATATCTCTCTCTCTATATATATATATCTATATATATAGATATAGATATATATATGTATGCAGGCAAGCTGGCAAACAAAAGTCAATAATAGAATGACCCATTAAATGTAGGTTCTCACACCAAAATTGTGTGAAATTTGATGTCGGTGTTGAGAAAACCTCGCTGAGCAGAGAGTGTTTATTCAGCTTTAACACAGGGTGGGGAGGCCACAGGATTGAGTGAAGAAAGGAGCCAATGACTCTTTTTTTCTCCTCCACAGAAATGCGGCCTGTCATCTGACGAGTGCTAAGCAAAGTCTCCTTATTAAGACAGAAGCATTTGGATGGCGGAGTATTACGTTTCATTCTGGACAGCTTAAATCCAAGGAGGCTCTGCAGATCAGATGCATCCGGCAGCACCATCTGAGACACGCTGCTCCTCAGCTCTCTATCACGACACCGTTTTCAGCAAAACCGAGCAAAGTGTAAGTAAGTCGCTGAGGAAAACCTGACTGTGGAAGAACGTGTTTGGAGTCAGAGGATATCATTTAATAGATATTCCTGATGTTACTTGTGAAGCTCTCCAAATTTAGCACCCAAGTTTTAAGTCTCAGCTCAGTCCCAATATAGCCCTCCTCTCATTGCTGACTGAGAAATACTGTGCCTTCCTTACGCGATGACTGAAGGAGCTGCTGTGCTGTCAGGGGAGAGGTAGACAGTGAATTTTGTCACTCAGCAGATGAGTGTGACTGTTTTCTAACCTACCTACCTTTAAAAAAATACACCCATTATGCTCTTATCTTTTGGAAATTGGTGTATTCTATTTTATGTAGTCCAAGTATAAACATACCTGTACTATTATTTTAACCTGTGTTTTAAGCTTGTGAAATCACAGCAATTAGACAATAACGAGCTCAAAGTTATGAAAGAGATCATCTATACTGACTCTGTTTAGTTTTAAATTAAAGGTTATACACTGTTAGTTACTGTAAGTGGAGAAGTCAACATGTTGGGACAACCCCGCTAATTACCTAAAATAGTCATGTTTTCCAGAGTGGAGTGAAATGCTCTTTAAGATCCATCAGCTGCTGTCTCCCAGGTTTATGTTAGGGAGCTCTGCTTCTCAGAGCAGTGGTATGTGAGTATGCCTAAACAGCAGGCATCCTCTGAAACAATGACCTCATTCATTTAGGTAAAACCATGCTGTGATTCCTCACTGTATTCTTCTATATAACTGTTAGACAATGTGATTACCAAGACAGTACAAGCATATTTACACAAAGCTCTTGGCAGTATCTGTGAGACATGAAGTGGTTTATCATTTTAGCTGAAGAAAACTTTGTTTGGCTGTAAAAGTGCCTTTCCCCAGATGCAGGGTTGAATTTCAGATTTGGAAAATACATTAAAACCATGCTAATATTGAGAAGATATAATATAAATAACAGAAAAAGCAAATTCCATGGAGAGTTTTGTAAGGAACAGCTTGTTAAATATGTTCTTCTTTTATGTTATCATACCTTGTTTGGGTCTGGACCTTGTAAGAGTTTTGGGAAAAAATGGATTGAAGCCAAGTAGCCATTCAACCCATAAACAATACTGGTTTCCAGTGTTTTATCAGCCTGAATAATTTGAAAATTACTTTCAGCCTGACACGGCTGCTGAAGAACTGATAAGCTATTTTTATGGCCTTCTTCTAGACTTCTTTGCACTGAAATATGTGTCTCAGTAGGATTATAAAAAAAAAAACCATGTTACCGTAAAAAAGGTGGAAGAATGAGTGCGCTTGGAAAGAAAAACATCTTGTATTCCCAGAGATCATAGCTAGCAATAACTTTTTGTTCACAGGCTGCTTGTTCAGAGAAAGACCCAAGAAGGACACTGTCAGGTTAAAATGTTGTCTGTGCACAAAGGCAACAACATAAAAGAGGAAAACCTCAGTAGCACGCTGTGGACAAAAAGGCCCAGCCCAAAAACCCAAAAGCCTTTCCTGATGTGCATTTTTTCCAAACCTCTCTTCCTCTTTCATCACGTTCTCTAAAAGTGAAAAGAAAAAATAGCTCAGGGCAAAGGCTGTCTCACTCTCTGTGAATTCACAGACCTTTATACTTTCTCAGTCTGTTTGGTTTAGCCTTACCTGAACCGAATTCAAAATAATAATAATGATACAGTGAGTTCACATAGAGGCTTTTTTAGCATGAGACTTATGAATGTTTTTCTTAATTTATAAAGCATTCACCGCTGTTTACACTATTAAAGAAATCCCTGAAACCCAAACCAGGACATGGAAAACTAAAATTTGACAGAGCATTATCAAAAAGTGCCTACACAGCTTTCCAGTGTGACAACTCCCAAGCTACCATAGGCTTTTCTTAGTGTTAAGCCCTAATTCCATTCCTGCATTACTTCGGACCTTACATTAAAATGCCTGCCACTGAAACTGGAAAACATATAAACCAGTATCAGCCTTAAGCAGACCTTAGATTAGCTCTGAAATGATTAAAGTGTAGAGGTGATCAAGTGTCATTTGGCCCAGCTATGTGTTAGCCTGGCTTCACTTTTAGGAACTTGAGCGTGGAACAAAGCCTGGACTAAATGGCTGCCAGACTGCAGGGATTAGGCATGGCACAAGACACAGCAAAACAAACTTTCCAACACAGCAAGTTTAGAACATTCAGGATGCCGGAGATTTACACTGTCGGTGCAAGGGATTACTAAGTGTGTCATGAAGCTTTTAAATACTCAAAAACTATTAGCAGGTTCTGAAGTTTCCTTTAGCAAATTCAATGCAACCTTTAATTTTTGTTTTCTAAACACTTTCCTCTAATTAAGCTAAACATATCTCGCATCTTCTTTCCTTTACGCGCCGTTTGTTTAATATGCGACGTGCCAAGTGACTAAAAAAGACAGAGCGCTTAAGAAAAAGCCACACACTGAAAAGGTAAAAGGGTGTGGGTTAAAATACCCCTTTTTGTGTTTTGCAGAAGAAAACAATAAATGCAGCTTAGCTCATGGCAAAATTATTAAGTGCAGGTCAATAGCAGGAAGGAATTGAACGGTTTCTCTATTAACTCGTAAATTTGCTGAGTTTTTCCAAAGTTCACCAAAAAACAAACAAAACAAAACAAAAATCTTTTTGGTCTCAGGCACTGAATGGAGATGGAGGGGAGAGGGTGAGTAGTAGATGGGTACTCGCTCTTAAACACATGGCTTCAGTTTCCCCTCTTCACTGTGGCCTTGCCCTGCATGAGACCAAAACATTCAAACTACCAAATATGGTGTTCATTAGAAGGACAGTGTGCTGTGCTGGCCACCTTTAACCATACTTTGCACACTATGCCCACATTTTCTTCTAGCACAGGAGGATCAGCTTTAGTACGAAATAAGCAATGTATCACCCGAGAAGAAAACAAAAAGGTCAAGTTCACTCTCCTGATTGACTAATTCTTCAAACATGAGGCTTATAAAGACAGTAGCTGTGGAACAGTAACCCAGAGTATAAAAATACTGTGAACTCTCATTATTGACCAAAATATCTAAGTGGGGATTGTTGCATATTTCAAGGTCTGGCCTGTAAAGCAAGGAGAAAAAAATGCATCCACAATGTCCATATTTGGTCTGGCTAACTTTGCCAGTCCTTCCACTTGAACATCCTCTGACCTCCTGATTCAGCTATGAAGGATAAATGCTGACATCTTCTGGCAAGAATGCAGGATGATTTATTCGACTAGACATCTTTTATCTTGAGGTTTCAAAAAATAATATATATGTATATAGATATATTAAAGAGTAGACGTACTTTTGCCTGATTTTGGTCTCCTTATCTGGGGTCAGAGTAGTAGTAGAGCTGCAGGGGACACTATTTCACATGAAAAAAAAAAAGCAACAATCATCGTAATGTTACCGGTTGTCTGAAAGCTTTATTTGTGGTGAATACAAAAAATACTTTTGTGACCAGATAAATATCATACATACAGCATCAAATCAGAAAACAAACAGATTCTGTTAAAGAAAGCACAACACGTATTCATAAACAGAGCTAATAACTTTTTCTATTTTCCATTAATACTTTGACAAATCGGTCAGACAATATATTTCAGGGTAATTCTTACATTTACTGATAGAAACTTAATTCTTATAGTGGTTAGACAATGAAACATTTAAGAGGGACTTGGCATAATGAATTTAAACAATTTCTCAACTTCATACACAAATTGCCACATGCTCATTGAATGCAGTCTAGCGTTAGTCTTTAAATCCTAATGTATCCACAGATGCCCTTTTATATCAGCATTAGAACACTGTCAGCAGGTAGGCCACCAGCCAAGGCATTGTACTGTATGGCAAAGGGCTTTTTTTTTTTTTTAAATTAAGACCCCAATAGGGAATAGACTGGCATAATGCTTTGATCCAGAGAGGACAAGGCTCAGGCTCCCACCCAGCCTGGTTTTCAGCTGCTCGTAGGGCAGACTCAAGTAAGGCACTAGTACAAAAAATAAAAAATAAAAATGCAGACCAGACACTGACGCGGACAGATGGTGGAGCTGAATGCTGAAAATTTGAAATACATTATATATTAATAAAGGAAAAGAAAATCAGTTTTCTCAGAGTGTGATGCCATTTCCTTCTAGTTTGTTAAGCAAATGTCCTCCATTCAATATAATGGGAGCTTTAAATTCAGTGCATAAAGTTATGAGCCACTTTATAGCACAGTGTGTGCTCATTTCATTCAAGAGCCTAGAGTTCAATATGATTGCACACTCTTCCAAACAATAACAGCGCAGACTCGTATTATCTTTCTCAAATATTCAGTGTAAAGTATTGCTATAGACAGACCATCTGAAGTGAAATGACTTTAGCAGGACGGGGCAGTGACTGCGTGTATGCAGAATAAAAGCACTGGCGACACCCAAAGAGAATCTGGCCAGTGTAAATGGAGAAGGAATTAAAAACACAAAGACGAGCGAGAACAAACATGACAAAAAATGTAAACAAGTATTCCTTACACAAGCGTGTGTGGGAAGAACTGTGAGCGGGGGGGGGGGATGGGTTACATCAAATGACATAATGTACAAGCAGCAAGACATATTTGGTCACATATCATCCAGATACTCTGAATACCACAGATTATACCTATATAAGAAAGTGGTCAAGAATAAACATCTTTATAGCTAGTGATGGCCAGTGGTCATGTTATATTATCATTTAGAGACTCTCATCGTTTGGCATCAAGCAGAACAACATAGTTTAATCATAATCATTGATTTTTCTCTTTTCAAGATTTGCTAGTTTAACAGCAAACCACGTGTTCACATTTTTTTTTTTAGTAAAATACAAGTGTCTTTTACTCTATACTACTCTATTGGTTAGTAGCTTCGCTGATATGTTTAGACATTATGGTGCATGCAAGCCAGTGGTGAAATGAGACGTGAGAAATCTTCCTGCCTTTCTATTAATACTTTGTATACCTGGAATACAAACTGTGGACCCTTAGATTGAATTTGCCGGTTACATCGATATCACCAGTTCCTTTCTATTTGTTTTAAACCTCAAACACTTTTGAGAACATTCAGTGATTATACGAGATTTCTTTGATTCATGATTGTAACAGTCAGTAATGCTCATGATGCAGTAACACCCACAAATTAATGACACGTTTATCGTACGACTTAAACTTTCTCAACTTGCTTATAGGAAACAGCTTTCTTCATATTAAAGTCTGAATGTCAATGCCATTCACTGACAAATACATACACGCACACACACAGCCACATACACACAGAAATACACCGAGCACAGGCACTTGTTTTATCACCAAACAGGCCTGCTTCAAGTGCTATATTGTCCTTGCTTTTATGAGAGTTGAAATAGCCAATACTTGACTGGCACCTCCCCGTGACAAGAAGGTCTCGTCAGCGCAGCGCACGTCCCCATCCGCTGCGTCCGTCAGCCTTCGTCCTCCCTCAGTTCGCTGGGCAGGAACTTGTACTGCTGCTGTCTGATCTGAGCCAGCTTCTTCCGAGCTTCCTCCAGCTCTCGCTCCTTCCTCAGCATCTCCTCCTGAGCCGCAATGATCTGAGGAAAATGAGAACAATTGACAGAAGATTCACCACTACTATGCCTGTGGATAGGCTGACATGATAAACCCTTGCTGCCATGTCCCGAGCACAGAACATGGCAGAACACCAAGACTTTCATTATGTAGATAGAAATATAAATTTAAACAGTACGAAATATATTTTGCTAGAAACTTTATGGCAAACTGAGCTGATTGTACTCAAATATCAATGAAGCTGTCAGACAGCTTCATTGATAATTGAGTTTGTCAGATTTACATATCTAATAAAACCTCATCTTCTTCTTCCTAGCGTTTGTCCTGCATGGCAGGGTCCGCTTTGCGGCAAATCCGTCTCCATTTGGCACGACTGAGGACGTCTTCTGGGGCGGCATTGACGATCTTCATGTCTTCCTTTATTCTATCCATCCACCGTTTCGTCAGCCTGCCACGGGGTCGCTGGCCACCGGGTTCAAGCCTCATTGCCGTTTTCACCACTGAGCTGTCGTCTGAGCATAATACGTGTCCGTACCACCGTAGCTGTGCCTTGCGCATTTTCACCATGATTGGTGCAATGCCGAGCCGCTTTCTGACGTCTTCATTCTTGACTTGGTCCCAACACGTGAGGCCTAGACACCACCTGAGCATTCGCATTTCCATCGTGTGCAAGGCCTGTTCGTGGTTGGCGGTGGCTGGCCAGCACTCCGATCCATACAGGGAAACCGGGACTACAGTCTTGTAAATTTTCGCCTTGAGATGGTCTGGCATTCGACGGTTGCATAGCACACCCGTCACTTGACGCCACTTCATCCATGCGGCATTGAGACTCGCTCGCACATCCAGAAGGATATCCCCGTCACCACTGATCATCATCTAATAAAACCTCAGCAAACCATAAAATAGGTAACTGACTGTAACTACGTTATAAATATATACATAAAATTGAAAATATACGAGTGACATTTTTGTGAAGAATCAAAACGTGTTAACTACTTAGACCAGGGGTGTTGAACTCGAGGGCCGGTGTCCTGGAACTTTTAAATGTGTCCCTGCTGCAACACACCTGAATAAAATCTGTAGGCCATTAGCAAGAACTGACTGCATGGTGAGATGGGAACCTCTAACATTACTCAAGTACATTTAAATAAATGTACTTTCTGAAAAAATGTACTTGTAAAAGTACTTTTGTTGCATCATGTTAATTCATTCATGAGCAGCTGTAACATGAATCAAATGGCTGAATTGCCACCTCAGCATGCAGTCAAGTTCTATAAAGCTTTGCCAATGACCTACTAATTTTATCCAGGTGTGTTGCAGCAGGGACACATGTTTTTCAGCACACTGGCCCATGAGGACTGGATGTTCACCCTGTACCAATGTGAACAAGCCAGAATAAAAAAAAGCAACCGATGAACTTAAACCTTTTTGATGTCTTTTGAATACAGTACTCAGCAGTGACAGGTGACAGGCTGAAGTCCAGCTGGGGTGCAGCACTAATTTGGGAAACCAGTCACGGCCACAGAAAGTACTGTTATTTGTTTCTGCCGGAAGAGAAATACACTAAAGGCTTTCAAAAGATATTCAGCTGTGGGTGCCTTGCAAACCTGGTAAACAAGTGAGAAACAAAACTGACGGGCTTCTCATCTAGAGCAGCTCTCAGCGATTTCAGAAAAACAACTGTGGCATTTTGGCATATTGGCAAGAAAAGGGCACATCACAGAGAAGTAGTGATTTCTCTTCTAGCCCTCAAACATTTTTTCTTTCCAGGATTCTTACCTGAGCTATGCCTCCAACAAACTTGGTCTTCACCACAACGCTGTCATCCTCAGTCTTGTCAAATGCTGCTTTCTGAGCCGCCTTGACTAGATTGTCCGATGCTCGCTTCACAGCATTACCAGCCACCTTTTTAGTGACATCCCCAAAATTAGTACATGTGCAATAAACGTTTCCAGGGACGAATTTAAAAGTGTGTTTCAGTACTACCTGTAGTCTCCTCATGGCTTCTGAATCCTGGTCTGCCTTCACCTTGCAGGCCACCAGCAGCTGAGCTGTCGAGGCTGCAACCTGCTTGGCTGAAGAGATGAGCTTCTCCTCACTGGCGTGGCCCTGCACTGAAGCATTAGCTGCCTCACACAGATTACTGGTGGCTGCTGCTACCATACGTGCCTGCAGCATTGAAGAAATATGCATGTAACAAGTTGGCTTTATTTAAAGTCTCATTTGGTGTTATAGAAGGAAGGTTTTAGAATAATTCACAGCGACTTACAGCTGATATGAGACCCTGTGACCACTGGCCATCGTCGACTGCATTGGCTTGATTGGATCCCACCTGAGGTAGAGTTTGGGGGAGAAATTCAGATGTTGCACTGTGTTACTACAGAGTACTTTACAAGTGCCTAAGGTTCGCAGATTGTGTAGACTGACCTTGCCCTGTGCCACCAGTTCTCTCTGAGCTGCAGATGCAGATTTAACAAGAGCGCTAGTTGCTGCAGCAATGGACTTTGCTGCTTCTAAGATCTGCTCCTCAAAATCCAGCGTCTCATCTGCCTGCTGGAAGGTAAACCACATAGCTTACATTTAAAGTGAATTTAATTAGTTAAAGACATCATCACCTTTGCATCTACACTCCTGGGAGACGCATCTCTGGCATGTAGAGGACTAATTAAAATACAGAGTACAATCCTAATTTAAAAACAATTCCACAAAAACAATTTTTATTTTTACAACGTGTCTTGGCCAAGCTCGGATCCTCCACAGTCCGTCCAATCAAAACCTGCTTCACACTCTTGCACATTCACACCCGTATACGGAGACTGCCAAAGCTTTGATAATTGTGGTGTTTTCTTCTATTACAATTTACTTATATTCTGGCAAATACTGCTCATAAATCCTTTGTGGTATTAGATGAATGGTGCTATAACCTCAGTGCTGATACTTAGAGCTCAAAGCCATGGTAAAGCACAAGTTTGTGAGAAACTGCTTCATTTTTCAAACCTAGAAATTTTAATCTGTTCTCTATACACATCTTTATAGATGACTAAACTTAATGTGTTGTGTAACCCAGCACCAAGAATCTCATAATACTGTGCCAACTTGGAATAATTGTGCCCACAAATTATTTTAGAACCTTACATTCAAGAGTGTTAAAAAGCTTTATAAATACATTAGAATGGCTTAAAAATACAGTATATCCAAACTAAACACTCTGCCTCGTACTACTTTCTAAAACCTTCAGAATTAAAGAAAAAAACAACACGTTGTCCTCAATTGCATCTTTGTCCTGATAATGGAACATAAGCAGTACTGCTTAAGTTTTAGCGTTACACAAAGTGGCAGCAGATATGTGATATGATAAATCCAGTCATTACACCAAAGTAAACAAGAGGCATCAGTTCAAGAACATTCAACAAATGGCCATCTCTGCAACATCAGTCAACAGCATGCAGTTGATCACAGACCTCGATAAACACATAAGGCACACGCGGCTGGAGACAGGGCGGGACACTGTAGGAATATGTTTGATATATAGTTGGACTGAATAACAACCTAATATATCAAACATATCAGACAGAGCCCTGCAGAGAAGGCTTCCAGGTCTACAATGGCTTGAGGGGTAGGGAGCAAGGAAGCATGCTTGGGGGGCAGGAGAGCCCTCCCTCCTTTTGGATGGGAGGGATGAAGGAGCAGAAAGGAAGGGAGGGGGGGGAGACGAGGAAGAATTCAAGCAGTTTTAAACAAATAACCTAAACATCTGTTTGAACCCATGTGTTTTTTAAGAGACATTAGGCCTGCTTTGTGATATTAAAAAAAATAGCTCGTACAGTTCACCGTCTTGCTTCACATCCCCATAAAATCTGTATCTCAGACCTGGGATTTAGTTTTGTCCTGTAAGCTACATGAGCACAAATGACAGGACAGCACAGCTACAAATGTATATATATATATATATATAAATAAAAATAAATTGCTCACAAGGACAGATTAGTTCAGGACCTTTTAAATACTAAAGCTTCCTCTTAGATCACTAGAGGGAGACACTGACATCAAAAAGAGGAAGCGCCTTTCACCCACTAATCCCCTTTCATAAACACAAAGGTCATCATAAATGCAGTCTGCAGCTCTGGAATTGTAGTACAAAGCAGAGCATTATAGAGTCTTCATAAAAGCTGATGTATTATAAATATAGAGATTTTGAAATCACACACAGACAGAGGTTTGAACTGATAGAAAAGCGGAAAAGCACTAGAGGCACAAAAAGCAAGACCACATAGATCTAACTATCCAGTCTCCAGAGACAGACACAATCATGCAGAGCACACCTCAAACCACAATCCTGTATTGCATACAAAACACGAGTAATTTGACTTCACAAAAGCACAGTTATCTGCTTGTTAAGGGCTAAAGTCGCTCTGTTTTTTTAGGCAATGCCGCAATGTGTGTGTGGGGGAAGGTGAACAACAGGCTGAGAAAACCTCCCTGTTTCGTTTAGAAATGACGAACACTGCAAAGAAACAAAAGGAAATGTGTCCAATAAGGCAGAGAACCTCTCTTTCACAAAGGGTCACAACAGTTCATCGCACTTTTGAACTCCCTTCCAAAATAAGCTTGAAGACCCAGCTGTGTAATTGCGTCTCTTGGCAGCGCAACTCAAAATAAAGTCTCAAACTACCTTTGAAGAAAGTCGTACAAGTTAGATCACTGGACCGAGTTGTCTGAGTCAACACGGCATGTGTAACAGAATAATTTTTATCCTTTTATGATCCCATGTTTGCAGCTCGGTTAATAGAAAGAAAACGAAAAAAAGAAAGACTCCACTTCAAAGCCGGTGTCACCTTTTCCTGCCTACACCCCACGTTGTCTCCCTGCTGATTAATGGCAAAAACCTGTGCGTGGGTTTGCGTGGGTGGAAAAGGTTGAGAGGGGCACTTTTACCTTGGGCTTGGCCCTGGGTTTCAGCTGCTCTAGTTTCTTGGCTGCAGCTTCAATGGATGCTGCTGCTCCGAGCAGCTCAGTCTCAGCGATGACAGTGGGGTCCTCGGGGTCCACGCACTCTGATCCTGGAAGAGATCAAAACGTAGCCAAACAGTGATTATCGCAGTAGTTTTTGAACAGACTTTCAAAAAAGTACAAGAAAAAAGTGATGGTATAATTTTAAGTAAGAAATAGCCCTGCTTTGCTTCAAACAAATGTTCCTATTCACACGCAGGATGCCTTGTATGTCTTAAATCTGAGCTTTCTATACATTCCCACAAACTGTTTGCAGTATGACAGTAATGTCTGAAAAGTGATTAAGATGGCTAAAATTAGACGAAATGCACACTTGATGGATCGTTGTTTTTTTGGACGTTTTTAAGTGCCCATAAAATGTAGCCGTTTTTGAACAGCTTGGTAAAGCAGATGGAACGATGTTTTCATAGATTATCTCGAGCTCTGGGGAAATCTGTTCTGCACCCCCACCCTACCCCGAAACTATCTACTCTCTACCCCCTTCTGACTGCATGAAAGGTGATCTGGAGGAACAAAACAGACCGTATCCCACTTACCTCCGTCTGAGGCAGCAAGGAAAGAGCAGGGAGGAGAGAGGGAGAGAACACATGGGACATTAGAGAGGTGAAGTGGATAGCCCCGCTGTGTCTCAGGCAGTACGCTGAAATCTAATTCTCATCCAAACACAATCTATTACTCCTGTCAGATGGAGCATTGCAACATCTAGAGAAAAAAAACACTCCTCTAATATGTTTGTGTCATAACCATCCTACAGAGCTTAATTTGAAAGACAGCACGGTAATCACTCTTTGGTGTGATTTCAATATTCTAAAGTGATTCTCGTGACCCATCTTTATCAGGGTACACACACACACACACACACACACACACACACACACACACACATGTTCTCCAGCTTGACTAGCACCATGATATTCACGCACAAGAGGATTAGGGCTCCTTTGACTAATCTCTGCCATCTCCACAATCCTGTCATGTTTTTTTTTTA